TTTCCGGCATAACATTTATCGTTACGAAAGATCACAATATATTGCTGAGTTTTTTTAAAATTGTTTAGTGGCTCTGTTTTTTAATATATTTAGAAGCAACAATTTTTGCTTAGAGTTCCACCAGTGTTACATTGGCAGACCTTGTAATTTTGTATTACAATCAAACGACGCCTGTTGGTTTTTCATTCTTTTAAATTCCGCATGTTGCTATACGAGGAATTAGAGGCCTAGTTTTATTTAATAGCCAATTGCTTCCATTTTTTCCCATGAAGGACAAGAAATTGACAACATCTTGGTAGAAGAAAAAATTCGACGCTGCTATATTCCACTTTTATTGCACGACAATTAGGAATGAAAAAAAAATTTAAAAATCTTTGAGTATCAATAAGTTAATTTTAATACAATTTTTACTCGTATTATTAAAAGTATCATTAGATTAAAATTGTCTCCCCTCTAAAAAAATTCTTCACCACACGTATAATATTAGTATATTAAATGAGTTCATTTAAGGCTGTTTTCGTTAAAAGTACGAGAGCTCTAACTAAACGCGAAGCGCATTTTCAGACAGAAAAAAATGACCCAATTTCCATGGAAATTTGCATTATAACTCGTACCTCTGTTAACAATATAGTGTTTTTAAAAATTTCCAAATATTCCGTAAATACTTTCTTTTTCGTTTTAATACGTGAAGGCAAAACCCATTTAACATTACGGTATAGGTTAAAAAATGCGAAACACATTTTATACCAGAAAAAACGAATCAACTCGGTTAAAAATGGGAATGATAAAAAATGCTGCTCTCTAAAGGATAGTTAAGCCAGAATATCATTAATTTTTCATTTCTTTTATATCCGAAAAAAATGTTCCAAATTCGGGTCCTATTCTTTAACATTAACCGAAAACAGCCTTAAAATTGTTGTGCATACGTTAGGATAGCATTGAACAATATCATTTATTTCCTTTCTCTGTCAGATAATTTTGCTTTTTTCTCCCAATTTCAGAATTCAAACGAGAATTATACTAACGCCGCATATCCGGTATAGTGGTTAGTGCCGCTGACTGCTGTGCCGTAGGGTCTGGGTTCGAATTCCAGGTAAGACATGGATGTTTTTGTGGGTGATTCCTTCTCTTGTTTGTGATATGTGCTTCATTCTTACTTCTATGTAAGTCCCCGTGTGATACTTTGTGGTGCACGGGGTTATAAATGTTCTAAAAAAAATTATATTAACTTTGCACTCTAAAGCAACACGAGGTCCATTGGGGATGGACCTCATAATTTTCAACCTCGGTCAAGTGACGAAGACGACACCAGGGCAAACTCTAGCAGATTTGCCACTCCGGACAAAAATGGAAAATTGCCGCCCCTCTCTCTGAAGCAAAAAATTATAATAAAAAAAAAAAAAAAATTGTTTTAAGATAGTTACACACCTACAAAACTTTAATAATTCTTGCAAACAAATAGGCGGCATAACATATTATATATATATATACTATTTTAAGTCTTAAAGAATAGAAAATAATTCGAAATTAAGGACATAATTACATATTATTTAAAACGAGTAAAATGTAAGAGAAGGAATCACCCATTTCACCAAGCCAATTTCTTTGAAAAAGCATCTACTGATGGTGGGGATCACAAGCGTTTATTTTAACTTATAGAAACTACACTCAGTACTAAAATAAAATATCTCCTGCGGCTCTCTATGTACCAAAAACTCTTATTATCCCTGTCACCTTTTGGATAGATGAACACCGGAAATCGTATGGGGGAAAGGAATGTTCATTGTGACCCCACCCAGGGATGAAGAGAGCGTTACTAGTGAATAATATCAAATTTCATGATTTAACATATACTCCCACCTCGAACCCTTCAAGTTCCAATATAAAAGAAAACTGAAATTAAACATACAACGTACAAAATAAGGAAATACGATACATAAAATGAAATACCAAATTTACATCCAATAACATTTCAGGAAATGTATCAAATTTTTTGTAACAAAAAAAAAAAAAAAAATTAAATAAAAATATTTTTTAAATTCGATCCAAATGCAGCCCCGGGCAGGGGTCCGGTTTGTCAGGCCCTTGAGCCACCCCTGACGACACCTGAGTTGGTACAACTCTCCTAATTACCTCATCAAACTAACGGAAGGACGTTTGAGCCTCGACAGATTTAACGTGCATCAGTCCTCTATATGGTGGGTCTTCAGTGGTATCAGGACTCAAACCCATGACACATTTGCCACGAGTTCATGACCATAACCACTAGGCTACTGCGGCCACATCAGAATTGAAGACCTGATTGAATGGGTTTCATGGGATGTGGAGCAACAAAGATTGCTATCCTTGGATAGTATTTTCTATACATAATTCAAGTTACTTAAAAAAAATTGTAATTGATTTTTACGCCTACAGCAGGGCAGAAAATTGTTTAGCCTACAGCAGGGGGCTCTTAAACCGTAGTCCGTGGACCCCTAGGGTTCCCCAGCGCTTTTCTAGGGCTCACGCGAAGGTCTCTAGTGAGTGAATATTAACGTCTCACTGTTCAGCTACACAAGGACTTTTGGCAACGGACCACGCAATTTTGAACCACGGTCAAGTGACGTGAATGACACCTGAGCTGGCACCCCCTCTCCTAACTACTACACTACACCAACGGGAGGACGTTTCAGCTCCCGACAGATTTTACGTGCATCGCTGCCCTACACAGCGGGTCTTTAGTGTACTGGGCTCGAACTCATGACATGCCTTCCATGATCCGATACCCTTAACACTGGACTACCGCAGCCCCGCGAAGGTCTCCAATTTAATATATTAAGATTTCCCTCTTTAACAAACTCTGAAAGGTCTAGCGGAAAAATTGAAAGATGCGACATTTTAGACTAGATCACTATATTGTCCTAAATGAAAAAATTCTACTAGAACATCATTCTATCAAAAATATTAATCCAGCTCTCTTAATGTTTGCAGTTACATAGCCATTACTAGAATGCAATATTTAGTGGTCATGGTAGCCCAGTGGTCAAGGTATCGGATCGTGGCTGGCATGTCATGAGTTCGAGCCCAGTACCACTAAAGACCCACAGTGTAGGGGAACAATGCACGATAAATTTGTCTATAGCTCAAACGACCTAGAGTTGGTGTGGTAGTTAGGAGAGAGGAGTGCCAGCTCAGGTGTCACCTCGTCACTTGACCATGGTTCAAAATTACGATGTCCGTTGCCTAAAGCCTTCATGTAGCTGAACAGTGCGACGTTAATATTCACTTACTCACTCACAACGCAATATTTTTTCAAAATTGTAGAAACACACGTACAAAGATTAAGAACTGAATTCATAGCACCAATACTGATAGCAATTGCATTCAGGAAGTGATGTTCAAAATCTTGGGGGTCTGCGACGTGAGTTAATACATGAAAAAGGAGGGTCTCGGTGATGCAAAGTTTAAGAACGTTTGGTCTACAGCTTCTCTCTGTACATCTCTTCAAGACCCAGCTCACACGATCGTGCGGGTTAGACCCTTATGACTCGATACATTTTTATCTTTAATCATTACTTTCCCATGGTTATTAACACTATGCCGACCCCAATGACACTGGGAAAAATAATATATAAATTTTTTTTGCTGCCCGCTTCCTTCAGCATAAATTTGCAGCTGGATCCTAAAGGGATTATCATCTTACATTTTACTTCCGTATATGTCATAATTTAGGTGGTATTTTACTGTTAACATGTATTTACCTGTCAAGTGTGTGTGTGTGGAAACATAACATCTTAAAAATATCCAAATACAAATTATGTTTGACAAATTAACAAACACTTTTATACCATATTTTAAGTGAAACAGCGAGAGAAGGACCAAAATGGATCAGTTCAACAAAATAGATAAGAGTTATTTCTACAACGCTAGCACTAATCAATACGTTTGATGAGAAACGTTTACCGATAACATTCGAGCATTAAAACTAGTGAGAATTTTGTGTGATCTAAAGATAAGGGTAAAATCTACGTAAGAGTTATCATAGCTACCGGATAAAGTGACGCTAAAGATAAATTTTGTTGTGTACATAAAATTTAGCGACGTTAGTAATATCAAAAGAGAAAAAGTCGAAAAACGAATGAAATATTTTGCATTACCTGTTGCGGGTAAAGTGGCATATAAATGCCGATTCCGGATCCATAAATAAAGTAAGTCAAGCACAGAAGAACTAAAGTATAATTTTCTTTCTTTTCTATCTTAGAGTTCATTCTATGGAGCTCGTTTCTGAGCATGCTGGTAGGTCGAGGAGGAAATTCATCTGGAATGGTTATTCCTCGCCTGTTTCCATTGAAAGCGGGGTTGGACATGGTGGCTTATTTCTAGATCTGTTTCCTTTACCTGAAAATAAGTAGTAAAATTGTTATTTTAACATATTAATAATTTTATTTTTGAATTCTAGATTCTCTGGGGATAGGTTTCTTCCGAATTAGTTGAATTACGTGCTCTTTCGAATTACGAAAGGGATATTGATGTTGAGTGAGTGAATATTAACGTCGCACTGTTCAGCTACACGAGGACTTTTGGCGACGGACCACGTAATTTTGAACCATGGTCAAGTGACGTGGACTACACCTGAGCTGGCACACCTCCTCTCTTAATTACCACACCACATCAGCGGGAGAACGTTTCAGCTATTGACAGATTTAGCGTGCATCGCTGCCCTACACGGCGGGTCTTTAGTGGTACTGGGCTGGAACTAGTGACAAAGCCAGCCACGATCCGATACCTATACCACTCGGCTACCGCGGCCACGGTATTGATGTTGAACCTCTATGTCATTGTTTAACGATGCAGACTGCTAGCAGAAACTTTTCTTAACGGGCTCATGTAAGAATCCAAACGTCTATATTTAGGTTAAATCTACAATAAGTCCTAGCACTCTCATTAATAAGCAAGACGACCTTTGAAAAATTGAATAACGAATCCTGTGATCTTTAATTCAAATTCCTATCAACATATTTGCCAGTATGGTGGATATGACACTCGGTTTGTAATCGAGTGGCTCGGGTTCGAATCCCGAATAAGGCATGGATGTATCTTCGGGAAAAGAAGTCGGACTTTCGGCTGAAATGGATATCCGTCTCGCGAATGGAAAGTAGCGCACCCCTTCTGTTCTATACTGGGATCATCGTTTGTAAAAATAAAGTCTTCACACATTCTTCAGTGATTGTATTGTATGTTTCTGTTCATCTATCTCTCGTCTTCCGTATGTATCCCAGGGTGAAACACACGACAGTCACATATAACCAGAATTTGTTATTAAACATTATTTCAGTATATTTTAACTACTAGAGGAATTAATGGGATTAAAAAAAAAAAAAAAACTTGACATCTAACAAAACTTTCTGTCTCCCTTTTTGATACTTTAAATCAGTAATTCCCAAAGAGAGTAGTCTATATAGGTCCCCCCAGGGGTCTATGACAACCTGAAAGGGCTTCACGTCAGCAGAAAAATAACTTGGGGTCCATGAGGTGTAAATGGGGGCCTATGATAGTGGCTCTCATTAAACTAGATCGTGACTTTAATTTTAAAAGAAAATTTAATCTAATGAGGAAATCAAATTTTACCTATTTAACAGATTTATTTATTGCATGTAATGAGATTAATTTGCATTTACAGGGTGACAGCATAAGTTTTATTAAAACAGGAACCATTTCAGCATTTCTTTCCAGAGTTAAGCCAAAGAAGTATAATACTAGAGGGCCCGAATTTTCACAATTTGTTACAGACAATCTGTCAGGACGTTTTAACCTTCATTTAACATTTAAACAGCTTTTATATGCAGATTTTGAAACCAGGTTTGAGATTGCTTTTTTTTATAATAATACCACAGTAGACAATAAATTCATATAGTCACATTAAAGAAAAAATGTCATATTATAATAGGAACTGATCAGAATGGACACTAACGATCTCAAAATAAAGTTTAGAAACGGATGTCAGCAAATGGGTTAACCCATGAATGCAACTTTTGATTCTAGTCTAGTAAATTCTTGAAAACATCTCTCAAAATCGGGTTACGGTTTTATTCATGGTGTCTCTTTTATTCACGGGTGTTTCCATTATCTTGAGAACTACCTGTATTTCTTTTAGTATGCGCGTCTAACGTTTTATGTGAAGACGGTCACCTCTAAATGTCTTGGCGGTCCACTTGTGGATCGCGATCGACTAAATGCCCACCCCGGGTGTAACGGCTCCTCTACATGGCGGCGTTTCGCTGGAATTGAAATCCACGACCGATTTAAATTAGTGAAAATAAATTGAATAAGAAACGGAAGGAATTATCTGTGGTTTGTGTGGACCTTTATATTAGACAAAGACAGCCGGAAAATATTCAATGAACTAATTAATAGAGATAATAGTTTTTGTTGTGTGCTCAAATCCTTCAAACGAAATTAATCAAGCAATACACCCAGTTCTTTTTCCCATAGAAAAGTGTTGGAATTAAAAATTCTGCTGGGAGCACCTATACTGAAGTTGTTTAAAGAGAACATGCAATCGAGATATAGCAATATTACGAGCAGTGGCACACACAAGGGGGGTATCCTAGGGGTCCGGACGCCCACCATAGCCCTTGATTTTTTTTTTGATTGGTTATAATCCTATGTATAATTACGTAAAATTTAATTATGTATTTGTTATTAATAATTTTATTAATTAATGCCAATTATTTATTCAATAATTAATTTTGTATTGTTTTTGTCCCCGAAAATCGACAAAATCAAAAGAATATGTTGGGTGGTGTATTGGAGCATAATACCAAAATGGTGGACTTTCGCCCCCGGACCCCCCCCCCCGTGAAAATTTTTTGTGTGCGCTACTGATTACGAGTAATATGCCATTCTCGTTTCGAATGCTTTAAACCAGTGCTTCTCAAATTTTCAGTATTCGCGACCCAATTTTCGGTCATAACTTTCATCGCGCCCACCTCTTACAACAGCAATGTATTAAATGCAATAATAATGTACTTCGACATTAAGGCTACAATGCCACTTTAATGTTATAAACTGCATAAATTATCAATATATGTATTATATTTTTTATATGACAAGCCCATGGAAGTTACTAGTAATTACTAAACTTGCTTTTAATTTATAGTATTGATAAATTAATTATTAAATACTTTTTGCCACACTAGTACACTTATAAGTATCTTATATCAGTGCGAATATGTATTTTATTTTTTATCATGTCAGAATGTATTTTGTTTTGCATCCTTTCGGTAAATTAATAATTATTTTAAATCTTTTATTTTGGACTGTTCAATATGCTCGCAGCCTCCATGTAGAGTTATCATGCCCTCCGAGGGGGGCGTGCCCCACAGTTTGAGAAACGCTGCTTTAAACGTACATAAAATTATATTAAACTGCATTTTTATCTTCCTATTCTTTAGCTTTGATTTTTTCCTAATTTTTTAGTTATATATCTATACTTATCCTATTTTGTGGGGTGGCTGCGGTAGCCTAGTGATCAAGGTATCGGATCGTGGCTGGCATGTTATAAGTTCAAGCCTAGTATCACTAAAGACCCGCGCCGTGTAGGGGAGTAATGCCCATTAAATCTGTAGAGAGCTCAAACGTCTTCTCCCGTTTTTGTGGTAGTTAGAGAGAGGTGGTGCCAGCTCAGGTGTCGTTCTCGTTACTTGACCATGGTTCAAAATTACGAGGTCCATCGTCAAAAGCTCACGTGTAGCTGAACAGTGAGACGTTGATATTCAAACACTCTCTCCTATTTTGTGTCAAATGCCCCATTAGTTTTTGAAACTGTACCCTCACCGTAGGATATATGTAACCATACATCTAATTGTGGTTCTTATATACAATATAATAATAATAATATATGTATATATTATTACTATTATTATTCACGTTCATTTTCTCTTGATGGATTTTAATCCATAATGGTCTTGCGTCCTCCAAGACTTCGAGTTGTATTTAATTTCTAGTTTACCCGCCTAACGGGATATAACCATATCCTTATCTCCCCAAAAGTAAAAGTTCAGCGTTTTTCAATTAAGGATGATGCAGTCTAGCATCATCCGAGTATCTGGACCAATCAGAAGAACCATTGCTGTGTGACGAAGCCGATCTCTTCCCCCTATTTTCTAACAGATCCTTTGCCCCTTGCCGACAGACGTTGCGAAAATTCCAGGCATTTTCCTAATTGCTGGGAAGGAATTTCGTAACTGGGTGGTCGAGTTTCGGAACCTTTTTTCCCAGCTGACCGGACTGTTAAAAAGAGGCGCCTTAACATTGTGTTTTCATATTTTCCCGCAATTCGGTGACGACGGCGCGTCTGAGAACGTACACATGTGCACCCAGCCTTGGCGCCTCTTGGACTAGTGAACAAGAAACGAGACCGATTTGGCGCGGAAGAAGGGTAAGAGATCAAGGGAGCCGAGACCGGAAGGCGGCAGAAGAACAAGAGGGATTGAGGCCGACAAAGAGATCAGAGAGAGGATATAAGAAGGGCGAGAGAGTCCGGACGGGAGACTGGATTTGGATGGGAGCCGTTTGGACGTCCCTTGAGCGATAAAAAAAAACAGTGATAACGAGCCCGTGAAGTACAGCGGTCTCCTGTCTTGGAAGATCAGGGAACGGGAGAGAGTGCGAAAGAGACTCGAAATCATTACGGACCATTTTTGCTATTGAATTCTAAAGAATATACCATTTTATTTTTTTTGATGATTTTCATTCTGAAATAAATAGTTATCCAAGAGCTGTGGGAAATCATTACAACTTGAAATCATATGATTTTAATAGCTTCCGGCTGTCCATCGGTATAATTAGGCGAAATTTCTGGATAGGAAAAAGGTTGTTTTTTGTGAACGTCATGTTAACCGCAAGTGTCTATGTCTTGTTTTGTGATTGCTACTTGTTTTATGTTTGTGAGTGTTTTTTCTACATAACAAAATAAATGAGGATTTAAAACATACCAAGCTTGTTCATTCTTTCTGTGACTCTGAATTGAATACCAAAATGCTCAATTTCAACCCACGAATTGTGACATATATACACTGGTGTGCAAAACTTAAGCAACAGGTGGGTTTATTGCCATAACTTCACGAAAAATCATCTGAGAGACATGAAATTCTGAAATGAGGGAGAGTATTATGTACGTAAAGGATGACAAAAGCATCGGCGCTGAAAAAGGAATACAACGCATACGGTATGGAATCAAACAAAAACAAGCTTTATTGAACGCATGGTATCGTGACTCATGATTGTCTATCCAACAGGAAGAACAACAAGCAGATGTTCCTTAATATGGTATATGCCCTCCCCTTTCTACAATGGTTGTTTTGCACCGTCTCCGCATACTCAGAACCAGGTGGTGCAACATCTCTTGAGGTAGGAGTGCCCATTCCTCAATCAACATCTGTTTGAGTTGTTGGTTGTTCTCCGGATGATGTAAGCGTGTGGCAATACGTCTCCCCAAAGCATCCCACACATGTTCGATGGGATTTAAATCTGGGGAGCATGCTGGCCAATCCATTCGAGTGATATCTTCACATTCCAGCAGCTCCTCAACAGCAAGAGTGCGATGTGGCCGTGCATTGTCATCCATAAAAATGAAGTCTGGGCCAATGGCACCTCGGAAAAGATGCACATGGGGAAGAAGACCCTCCTCACAATAGCGATCCCCGGTTACAGACCCTCTGTCGAAAATGTGAAGCTCAGTTCGCCCGTTCAGCATAATGCCTCCCCAGGCGAGAACTCCAGGACCACCGTAACGGTGTCTTTCCTTGATGTTACTGGGATAAAACCGGGTCCCGATCTCTCTCCATATCAAAACGCGTTGAGAATCGCTTCTGGCACTGAACCGACTCTCATCCGTAAAGAGAACACGACTCCATTGATCAGCTGTCCAGTTTTTGTGCTCTCTGGCCCACTGTAAACGGTGGCTTCAGTGGCCATCCTTCAACGGGAGGCAGCGTTCAGGACGGCGGGCGAACAGGCCCCCTTTGTGAAGGCGTCTGGCCACAGTAAACCGCTACACTTGTCGACCTGTTGCTGTACAGAGTTTC